TCCTGAGAGGAGAATGGAGGAGAAGGGATTGTGGCGTGGCCATCCCCCCGGGGGTGATTTCTCACTTTCTGTCTCTCTGTCTCTGTCTTTCTGGAGAGCGCATGCGCCCTATAGCAAAAACCTCTCAAAAAAAATCTATAATCATCTGAAAAGACTATTAAAATACATGTTCTTTTCCATATCTTCAATATTTCATGTTAAATATTTTCTTTATATATTTCAACTAAAACAATATATCACAACAGACTGAATGCAAAAGCAACAATGAGTAAGCTAGTTGTCTACTATTAAGTTGAGACTTTAAAGAGATTTGCAAAAATGTGGGAACCGCAGTTAGCGTAATGGGTATGTTGCTGGACTCCCACGTAGTAGACCACAGTTCACGTCCCAGACCCAGTGGCTTAGAACTCACACCGGGCATGTGTGCATGCATGCCCAAGATCCCAAGAGGAGAATGGAGGAGAAGGGATTGCGGCGTGACCACCCCCCCTGGGGGGGTGATTTCTCGCTTTGTCTCTATGTCTCTGTCTGTCTGTCTGGCGAGCGCACGCACCCTATAGCAAAAACCTATCCAAAAAAAAAGAAAGAGATTTGCAAAAATGTAAAACACCACCATTCTTTCACTAATTTTGCTGTTTAGGAAAGTAGTTCTTTCTCATACAAAATATGTTCTTTAGGTAACATGTAATGAATTTGCTAAAGTTATATTGTTAGTCAATGAAATAAAAATTATTTTAAAAGTTTTGTTTTAATTTAGAATAATATAGTATAAGTATCTACAGATATAATCCATAAAAATAAACATTCTTAGGGTCCTCAATAATTCTTCAGAGATAAGAGTTCTGAGGTCAAAAAGTTTGAGAAGTGCTGCCTGAAGACATTTACATGGGTGCATAAACATTTGCGTACAGGCCCAGCCTCAGTGGCACAGTGCTGCTGTGTGATGCTGGAGTAAGATCAAGACTGGGGTTCAGTTCCCAGATTGCCGACTTAGCTACACCAGGGCTGTGTGCAGTGGCCCGTAACTTGGCTGGCTAGAGAAGTAGGGGGAAGATTTCAGCATGAGACCCTGCTGAGAGTGCCTCTCTCCCTCTGTCTCCCTCTAATGAAATAAAGATGCATGTACAAAGATGTGCACCTTTGTGTTGTTTTAGAATTAAGAATTTAGAAACTAAGACTACTCCGTTGTCCTTCAAACGTGTCCTGTGAAATCACCCCTCCTCTGGCTCCTACCACAGCTGCCTACTTGGGCCCGTGATCCACGTCTAGTCAAGGTCTGACAGTGGCAGCAGTCACTCCTGTGTAGTGTTTACAAGTGACAGAAACAGGCCACCACAGAATGTCTAACTGGCTGCCTCTGCTCTTTTCTCTCCACGGAGCACTCGCCAGATTAAATACGGAGTCTTCAACCCAAAGAGCTTCTGAGAGGAATGTCATTTGAACAACAAATTCCAAGTTTTTTACAAAAAAGGTTAAAAAAGCACTATGTTGGGACAGCTGGTGGCATAAAAGTGAGGGTGCTGGACTCCCACATGGTCAGCCACAGTTCGAGTCCTGGACCTGGTGGCTTGCTTTCTCACTTTCCCTTTCTCTGGTCAAATAAAACAATAATAATATTAATAATCTCAAATGAGATTAAATAAATAAATAAATCTTTATTTAAAATGCCCTTTAAAAAAAAGCACTATATTAAATTCATGTACTGGTTATAATCAGAAAATGAAGACTGTTCCTTTCCCTTCCTTCCTTCCCATGAACAAGGGGTAAGTGGCTGAATCATGCCATCTCGGCCAAAGGCATTTTGGTTCTAGCCAGTTTGCAAAACCAAAAGAATATTAAGCTTTGGCAGGTATCCACCCAGGATGAAGTCATCCTAACTGGCCTTTTTAAAAATGAGAAAAGCAGTTAATCATGCAAGTAACAATAGGACAGCATCCTGGTTTCCCATTAGTAAGCAGTAAAAGTGCCCTCCTGGGTAGGAATGGAAAGGAGCAGGTACGGCAGTGAGTCATGGAGGAAGAGGAAAGGGATGGGCGCGCTCTGCTCTTCCTGGAAAGTAAGTTGAACTGGACACCACGGTCATGCTTCTTCGCTACCATCTTATCCCCTTATATCTACCTCCACGACGAACGTGTCAATAATGTGCTCCCTGGGGAGGAACCAGTGGGCTGCTTCGTCTTCATCCAGCACCGGCGCTAGATGAAACTGCTTCAGGTAACTGTTGGTTAATTCTCGATTACCGCGCTGATATCTCTTGGTTCCATGGGTCTCAAACCTGAAGTCTTTGTCACCTTGTGAGAGGGAAAAACAAAACAGATCCATAAGTTTAACTATAAAAGGAGTAAAACTCCTTTAGGCTCACAGTATGGATGATCCACAGGCTAGCAGTATCACATCCCACAGGAGCTTGTTAGAACTGCAGATGTGTGGCCCGCCCTGGACCTGGTGGGTCAGGGTCTGCAATGCAACAGGAGTGCCTGGGGATTCACATACTCATTAACGTTGGAGAAGTGCTGGGTAAGAATACATACAAGACAATATGCTGTATTATATATTTATGTGTGTGTGTGTGTGTGTGTGTGTGTGTGTATGTGCACACACACACACACACACACATAAATATATAATTTGCTATAGGACACATGCGCTCACCAGAGAGAGAGAGAAAGCACCCCTAGGCGGGATGGCCACAGTGTAATCCTTTCTCCTCTTGGGATTTTGGGCACATGTGCCAGCATGCCTTTCAAGTCACTGCGTTCGGGACTTGAATCATAGTCAGCCAAGTGGGATCCAGCTGCCTTAACTACCCCGCCACCAGCTGGCTCATGCTGTATCTTATCTCTGTGTGGCGTATGTTTGGTCGGTCTTGACCCAAACGAAATCAAAGGGAACACTACCAGTTGTGATTTATACACCAGTGCCAAGAATGTGTATGGCATATACAATAGGGCACGGCAATACCAGCATAACTTCTGGAGAACATATTTTAAAACTGCCATGTCTGACATTGGGAAAAAACTCAGCTGAGAAACTTGCTTTATTCAATAGCCCATAACAAGGAGGTAACAATTTTGTTCTTTTTTTTTTTCAGAGAGAAAGATTTTTGTGATAGGGTATGTGCGCTCGCCAGAGAGATAGTCAGAAAGTGAGAAATCACCCCCCAGGAAGAATGGCTACACTGTAATCCCTTCTCTTCCATTCCCCTCTCAAGATCTTGGACATGCACAAGCGCCTGGCCAAGTTTCAAGCTGCCAACTGGTCAGGATGGGAGGGCGGCACCCAAAGAGCCACATATTTTCTGAAGGCAAATGGCTGCCAAGTGCTGGGCCTGGCTTCTCATGCCATATCTTTTCACTAAAAGATAATCAGAATATATATTTTTAAATTTGCTATAGTGCACATGTAATCACTGGAGAAATAGAGAGAAGGGGAAAACAAGAGAGCATCCCCAAAGAGTATGGCAGGGCTGCGATCCCTTCTCCTCCATTTTTCCCTCCTGTTGGGATCATGGGCATAAATACACACGTGTCCAGCATGTTTTTCAAGCTGTCAGATCCAGGACTGAAAACATGCAGCTGACCTTGTGGGATCCAGCCACCTTAAGACCACATGTTGGGCTGGCACAGAGTAGGCATAATCACCACTCCAGAGTTTTATGATCCTAAAATTAGGTCACAGCAATAAAAAGCCTAAAGGTTGGGACAGTCCCCATTTGAAAGTGTTCAACTGTTTGTCTTCAAAAGAGCTCCTTTATCACCTGGCTCTTGAGACCCATTCAGATGCCAGGGCACTTGAGACAAGAAGTGACAAAGCCCAGTGAACAAAAATTAAAAACTGAGAAATACAGGTTTCTTTCTTTCTTTTTATTTTTTTGGAGAGATTTTTGCTATAGGGCACGTGTGCTCACCAGACAGACAGAGACATAGAGACAGAAAGCGAGAAATCACCCCCCAGGGGGGATGGTCACGCCGCAATCCCTTCTCCTCCATTCTCCTCTCGGGATCTTGGGCACGCACGCACATGCGCCTGGTGTGAGATTTAAGCCACCAGGTCTGGGACGCGAACCGCAGTAGACTACGTGGGAGTCCAGAGACATAGCCATTACGCTAACTGCTGGTTCCCAGGTTTATTTCTTTCAGTAGATTTTTTTCCCCCTTTTGAGAAATACTGGATAAATTTTAAGAGATGAAAATCTTATATATAAACATTGCTGCTTTACCTTTTCTACCTCAAATGATTTCTATAAGTTTTAAAATATAAACTTGCTATGGATTGGATCTTCACAATTTTTTTTTTTTTTGAGAGGTTTTTGCTATAGGGCACATGTGCTTGCCAGACAGAGAGACAGAGAGAGACAGAAAGCGAGAAATCACCCCCTGGGGGGATGGTCACACCGCAATCCCTTCTCCTCCATTCTCCTCTCGGGATCTTGGGCACGTAAGCACACGTGCCCGGTGTGAGTTTTAAGCTACCGGGTCAGGGACGCAAACCACGGTCAACTACGTGGGAGTCCAACGACATAGCCATTACGCCAACTGCTGGTTTGTGGATCTTCACAGTTCTTACATGCTCCCATGTAGAAGCCCAAGGGAAGCCGTCTTATCTTGTATGCTAGCTCTGATCAGTTGTTAGTTGTGCTGACATTTCTAAGGTCCAGTGACAACAGTGCTGACGGTTTGTTGATTAGGATGTGGGAAGAAGGAAGAGTAGATGTGTGCTTTGTATTTATAGACCCAACAGTCCTAGGCTGAGTATTCATTACAGACCATTCAGTTATGGTTTATGCAATCTATTAAGATATAGCAATGTAGCTAATGTACCACTTAATAATCAAAGTTTAGAGAATTTTTTTTTTTGAGAGGTTTTGCTATAGGGCACATGTACTCGCCAGAAAGACAGAGACAGACAGAGAGACAGAGAGTGAGAAATCACCCCCCAGGGGGATGGCGACACCACAATCCCTTCTCCTCCATTCTCCTCTCTGGATCCTGGACACACACACACACACCTGGCATGAATTTAGGCCATCGGGTCCTGGACTCAAACCACAGTCGACTACATGGGAGTTCAGCGACATGGCCATTACACCAACTGCTGGTCCCATAAATTTAGAGAAAATTCCTTAATTTTTTTTTTTTAAAGGTTTTTGCCATAGTGTGAGTGTGCTTGCCATTTGAGAGGTAAAGTGAGAAATCACTCCCCCCCTAGGGGAAGGTGGACATGCCACAATCCCTTCTCCTCTGTTCTCCTTTTGGGATTTTGGGCACTCACACACATGCACTTGATGTGTTTTTTAAACTGCCAAGTCTGGGACTCGAACCACAATCAGCCATGTGGGAGTCTAGTGCCTTAATCACCATGCCACATGCTGCTCCAAAGTCTTTAATGTTTAATAGACAGCTCGTACTTGGAGACTTCTTAGTGGTTCTCAAAGCCAACGAGTAAGAAATATCTGGGTCTCAAATGGAAATAAATATACATTTCTAAATACTACTAGAAACACCAAAACGATAAGAAATACTAATTTTTAGTCTTTAGAAGAATTATTTTGGGGAAGGCAGCTAATGTAGTAGTTAAGGTGCTGGATTCCCACAGGCCGACTGCAGTTTGAGTCCTTGATCCAGCAGCGTGAAACACACTGGGCATGTGTGTGTGTGCCCAAAATCTCAAGAAGAGATGCAGGAGAAGGGATTGGATTGGGGTGTGGCCCTCCCTGGGAAGTGATTTCTCTCTTTCCCTCTCACTGTCTCTTCTCTGTCTCTCCAGTGAGTGCATATGCCCTATGGCAAAAACCTTAACAAAAAATAAAATTATTTTCTGCTATAAATAAGTTTTTACAGAAGTATTAAAGCAGAAGAGAACATCAAGTATATCACAGCAATAGAAACATAGTAAGGTCGCAGAAAATAAGGGGAGGATATTTACTTTTGTTGACTAGCGATGTCTAAAAAAAACTATACAATTTGGGTGAAATAAACACTCAAGTTACAGTTATTATCTTCAGAAAGAAGTGGGAAGACTATTTTTTTGTTCGTTTGCCTTAGGGTGTGTGTGCTCTTCAGAGACAGACAGATACAAAGACAGTGAAAAGGAAAGTGAGACATAACCCCATGGGGGAATGGCCATGCTGCAATCCCTTCTCCTCCTCCCCTTAAATTACTTGACTGCTAGCAGTGGTATCGCCCACATGGTCCCATGGAGAAAAACAGGAGGGTCTATACCACTTATATTGCATTGTCCAGATTTTAACTCAAGAGGAAGACACCTGAGTGATTGTGGGCACCTTCCAATTTTCTAATATCTGTACTTTCTTTTCTTTTAACCCTTTTTCTTCTTTTCCATTAGTTTACTCTTCATTTTTCTTTTCTTTCCTATGACTTAAATGTGCCAATGAGGGCTGTTTGGGCCTTGACAGTGGTCCTTTTCTGTCATGTAATGACAGGTCAGTAAGTACTCTGGAGGACTGGGCCATGGTGCTCCCACAAGAAGTGGGTTAGAGGTGATGGGATCTAACAGGGAGACATGGAAATCTGCGGTTTGCACCTGGAGTGCTCCACCTACTAGGGACAGACCCCTGCCTAAGTGCCAACCTTCATGAACCTGTTTCTTCATTTGCATAATGGAAATAAGCACAGATGTCAGAGGGTTGTTGTGGAAATAACTAGAATAATATATGTGAAGACATCTCCTAAAATTTGATTTACTGGGGGAAAAAGGCAGTCACTCCAACAACATGGCTGGAACAGGACTGCTACATAAGGAACCTAGGTTAACTAAGGGAGATGCTGAAGTCGATTTCACGATAAATGACAGGTCAGTCAATGACTGTGAACTTGTCAAACTCTGTTATCCATGAGTAGTCTGATTCTGGGACAAAAATATAAAGGCTAACTGACAAGGTCAAGTTGGAAATATTATCAGCCCCTTAAATTCTAATCATCCTGAATAAACCAAAGGTAAGTACTAAAGCTCCTTCTTTTTCATTCCATTTTGGGCAACCTACATATAAGTGGGCGTTTTCCTTACATATAAGCTAGATTGCTTTAGGTTCAACAAACTGAAATTTGGGGAGACCAAAGTAGAATAGTCTTATTCCCTTAAGAAAACAATGGCCATACTTGACATTTTTATTTCAATTCACATATAGTGAAACTTCAAACAAAAGATCTCTCACTTGTAGGGGACAGATTCTGGGATGGCCTCCAGTGATTCTGCCTCCTGGAGTTCACGCCTTGTGGGATCTGCTCCTTTTACATATAGGCAGGATGTGTGATTTACTCCTAACCAACAGAAATGCCAACAGTGACTGGATGTCACTTTCAAGAAGTGGTTACATAAGGCTCTGATTCCATCTTGCTGGCAGATTCTTTATATAGACTCCTGCTCTCTCACTAGCTTTGATGAACAAGCTGCCCTGCTGTGAGCTGCACTATGGAGAAGAGCATGTGGCAGAGAATGAGGGCAGCTTCAAGCAGCCCACAGGGGACTGAGGCCCTCAATCTAACAGCCAGCAGGGAACTTAATCCTGCGAACAACTTATAAGCTGGGAGCAGATCCTTCCCCAATCAAGTTCCAGATGAGAGCCCAGCCCTTGATGGAGCTCCACAAGAGACCCTGAAGCAGAGGTTGCAGTCGAATTGTGCCCTGATTCCTGGCTCACCAGACCAGGGTAGTGATACATGTGTTCTGTAAGTTTGTGCTAATTTGTTACGCAGCATTAGATAACTAGTACACAAGACCAGAAAGCACATTTACATTTTTCTCCTATTAACAGAGATAACTTTAAATATGGGGAATTTGTTAAAAAAATGATAATTTAATAAAAGATTAAATCTTCTTCCTGGATCTCTCCTCTACACGTGATTCTTTAGTTCCATTTTGTTAAGAAATCAGTGGCTTATACTTTTTTGCCATCTTAACAGGCCATAAGTACTCAAAATTTCAAAACTTACTTGTCTTGAGTTCAATCTCATTCAACTCTAAGGTGAAGAACTTAGAGAAGCAATAAAAAAAAAAAAAAAAAGAAAGTGGAATGCCCAAATGAAATGAATTCCCCTACTTTTCCAAAATCCTGTGGTCTATGCAGTCTCTTTAACTTTCTCAAACACATGAGTCAGTTTTTGGACACCTGCAAATAATTCTTTTTGGCATTAAAAGCTTTAGTTGTTACAGCTTCAAAAAACCGCACGTCGTCGTTACTTACATCTGGAAGTCTGTAGAGCTTCATTGTTCTCTGTAAAGTCATGTTTCTGCTCAAGTGAGAAAATTTTACTTCCACCAATTTTCTGGGGTTTAGTGATCGATGCCAGTATCTGGAATATGACAAAAGTTTTAAATCTAATTGGTTTCTAACTGTTCAAGTTTTTAGCTCTTTGCCTCAAAAGCTGCAATAATTATTTGTGCGTGTGTGTGTGCGCACGTTTTAAAGTTTATTTATTTATTTCTTCTGTAAGCAAGAGAAACAGAGGAAAAGAAACATTACCCCTGAAAGGGCCCCGATGCTGCAAACAACTCCAGCCTCAGCCAGCCCTAGATCAAGGGCAAACCTGGGCCCAACGTACTCAGGGAGGTCTCCAGACATGAGCCAGGAACCCTCCCCTGTGGGCTGCCTCACAGCAGAGCTCTGCATTTTACTACTATGGCCACATCTGCCCTCTTGTTCCATGCAATAAATTTCTCTCTGAAATATGTCTTACATTCCTAAATATGTCCCTCTGGAGTTGGTGACCTTCCACCACTTCCTCTAAAAAGGAATCATAAAACTGCAAAAGAAATATCCACCATGCCTTGATTTTATAAGTATTTAATAATCGTACTTGATTCTACAAAAGGCAAACTAAAAAGTTTAAAACATGCAAATATATCCTCTAAATCAGTACTCTTCACTTTCACAAAGTACACACCAAAGGAAACAAGTTTTTGAGAAACCATTAGGTTGTCAGGAAAGTCAAAATGTTATTTTTCTGTTTTTCTATGTGAAAATGCATCATGACTTTCCTGACAACCCAGCAGCTAGAATTTCTTCAATGATTCTTGTTTGTACACCAAGATAAATGATTTTTATTAAAATATGCCTGTGTGCCTTTTCTTGTTTGTTTATGAAGGTATTAATTTAGTAGGCTATAATAATTTTACAGTTTGACTTATCATACTATGATGTCAAGTTTCATTCTATTTAAAGTCAATAAAAATAATGGATGGAGATAAACTCTTTTTGATGTTTTAGAAACAGGTTAGTCCAGTGACAATCTGATCATTTTCTCACTGGAATAACCTTTGAAAGCTTGACTAGAGCAGATAAAATCATAAAAACAGAGCTTAAGTCTTCTTTGTACTCTTAGCAAACGAGTAAATACATCTGGCGCCTTTCAACTCATGCTTTTCAGACTTTGGAAGCGTTCAGCAGTGCGGCAAAGCACGGGAGAAAATCGAGTGTTGGGAGTGGGAAGGAAATGGCATGAAGTGGACATCTCAAATCACAACGCTTGAGGTGTCCCCAGGCTTAGAGAGCACTAGTCTTTCAAATGGAAGAGAAACAGAAACACAGATCCAGCGTCACTATGGTAAACATTGAGACCTTAAAAATTTTTTTTGCTATAGGGGGTATGTACTTGCCAGAAACAGAGATAGAGAAGGAGATGGAGAAAGCAGCCCCAAGATGGTATGAGCACCCCACAATCCATGTGCCTCTCAATCATCAATTGACTGTGTGACACACTAAAAAGAACACTGGACTCAGAGGTTCTAGGTTCCAGTCTTCATCTCTGCTACCAGCAAATTACATAATCATGAGTATGCCAAGATTCCTCCGAGTTACACCTGGAGACAACAGTGCGGCTCCTTGCCCCACCTAGTGAAGACTCGAGGCAGTGCTCGAGTGGGTGTGATTACCTGCATGTGGCCACTGGCTTCGGAAGAACTACTCCCGCGGTGTACACAGCCTGAAAGATTCCTTCCAGGTTCACTCTTCTAGTTATTTCCCGAATTAACACAGGGGCTACCCGTTTTGATCTCAATTTCTTATGAACACAAAGAAAGTTGATTTCTACCATCTTCTTCACACTAAGAAATAATGATGTTAATATTAGAGCCGACACGAGATGGATGCCTTTTTCATAATAACGTAATACCCGCAAAGTTTCAAAAAATAAAAACATGAGTGATGAGGGCAGGTGGCATGGTGGTTAAGAGCTCTGGACTCCCACATGACCTACTACTGTTTGAATCTCAGACCTGGAGACTTGCCTTCTCACTTTCCTTGTTACTCTCTCTCTCTCTCTCATTGGCCCTCTCTGGTCAAATTAAAATAAATAAATAAAGTTAAATAAAAAATTATTATTGGGACCAGCAGTTAGCATAATGGCTATGTCACTGGACTCCCATGTAATCGACTGTAGTTTGAATCCTGTACCCAGCGGCTTAAACTCACGCCGGGCGCGTGTGTGTGCGTGCCCAAGATCCCGAGAGGAGAATGGAGGAAAAGGGATTGTGGCATGGCCATCCCCCCTGGGGGGTGATTTCTCACTTTTTGTCTCTGTCTTTCTGGCAAGTGCATGCGCCCTATAGCAAAAACCTCTCCAAAAAAAGAAAAAAATTATTATTTAAAAAAACAAAAACACGAGTTCTTCAACATAATATTTAAGAACAATATTCTGTCACTGAGACATTTCAGAAATTGATATAGAACACAACTTCCCACATCACCCTACCAAGATTATTATAACCTATACCATGGAGGACTAAATCTCTTATTCTTTTTTTTTGAGAGAGATTTTTGCTATAGGGTGTGTGGCCTCTCCAGGCAGACAGAAAGTGAAAAATCAGCCTCCCCACCAAGGGAACGGCCATGCCACAACCCCTTTTCTTCCAGTCTCCTCTCCAGATCTTGGGCACGCACGCACAAGTGTCTGGCATGAGTTTTAAGCCACCAGATCCAGGACTTGAACCACCGTTGACTACATGGGAGTCCAGTGATAAAACTACTACACCATCTACTGGTTCCGAATCTCTTATTCTAAATCATTTTTAGAACTTTTTTTGTTTTGTTTTTCATTTAGAAATTAGATCAGCTATATCCCCTCTCGCCCCCCCAACCCGACCTTTTTCTAATGGGAGAGAGAGAAATGGGTGTAATATTTTTGGCAGGGTCTTGCCATACCACAACACACCTGCCTCAGGCTCCCAGTTAGCTAGGATTTCTGGTGCGTGCCACCTGTTTAGGTTGGTTCAGAAACTGACTCCAGGCCTCCCCAGTGGCTCCAACCTCAAGCAGCAGCATCCTGCCACCTGTGCCACTGCGGCTGGGCACCAATGTGCCTCTGAAAGTTTCTATTTCTGTTTCTCCCATTACATACAATTGCGGCAATAACTGGGTCACCCCAGTATAGAATCAGATAAGATGTTGCTTTGGATTATGATACAAATCCCCAGGATCCCTGAGAGGGACCTTGACCAAAGCAGAGCTAGTGCCTTTTTGGGTTATGATAAACCTCCCGGAACTTCAAAGCCCATTCCCTGGTCTGCTTCCAGGTATGCAGGCATTTTGCTTAGCACACAATACCCTTTGAAATCAAATGCTTTTAGTAGTACACTGACCTCATCTGCTAAGATGTAAAAAGGTGCACTAAGCATTAGGTCTTTGACTTCCAAAAATGGGCCTTTAAACTTCTGAGCTGGAAACCCAGAGCAAAAATGCAATATACTTATCCTATGAAGAGAAAGTTATTTCTCTCTTCTAAACATTTTTTAAAGAATTTTTACCCAGAAATAAACCTTAAATACCTCTCTATGGTTTTATTATTTTCATACATACATATACTGACATATTTGTGTGTCTCTATGTATAAGATATATACATGTGTACATGTATGAGACTGACAGAAAGATAGAAAAGAAAAAGGTATGAGAGAACATTTTTTTCTTTTGCTTTGTGGTGCAAATTTCTTTTTTTTGGGAAAGGTTTTTGCTATAGGGTGTGTGTGCTTGCCAGAAAGAAAAAGACAGAGAGACAGAAAGCGAGAAATCACCCCCCAGGGGAGATGGCCACACTGCAATCCCTTCTTCTCCATTATCCTCTTGGGATCTTGGGTACACATGCACACACGCCCGGCATGAGTTTAAGCCACCGGGTCCAGGACTCAAACCACGGTCAACTACATGGGAGTCCAGCGACATAGCCATTACGCCAACTGCTGGTTCTGCAAATTTCTTTTTTAAAAAATGAATTAATAAACTGTTTTTTTTAGTGCAGTTTTAGGTTCACAGCATAATTGTACAGAAAATTCCCATAAAGCTCCTATCTCCCCTATACTATCAACAGCCTCCATTAAGTCACTTAGAAAAGCCTGTTCTAATTGCAGTTCTTGGAAAAGAAACACACAAAACTGTGTGGGCGAGCTGCAACACGTACCTGTCATAAATCCGAATGTTCGCTGGGATGGCACTTATGAACCCTACTAGCTTTTTATTCGAAGACACCCTGACCCCACAGTGCCACTGGAGCAGCCAGCCTGGGGGACGCAGAGCCCTGAGGGGGGGCAAGGGAAATGGGTACCAGTTAGTGTCTGAGAGTATCGGAACAGACAGCCTCAGTCCAACAGCCCACATCTACCACACCGTGACCTGTAAGACTTACCATAACAGGAACTCGGGCGAATAGTCGAACCGGAACATATTGTCATCATCTTCCACATAATTCTCATTTAACAACGTGTATAACTCCTTGAGCTATAAGATTAAAAACAAGCGTCCTATCTATGGTGCTCAGAACCACCTCCAAAGCAACTTTTTGTGAATGCAGGTGTTGAATTAAAAATTTTACTCACCACTTCAGCATTACTCAAGTCTAAGGTATCCCACATAAAACCCTGTGGCAGAGAATACGGTTCCTGACGTACGTTTTCTTTATCCGGTTCAATTGCACCATGAGATGTTATGACTTCATCTGGAATGGGAAAAAGGTAAACAAACAGAAAGAGAGAATGTTAAATTATGAAGTATTGCAACAATTTAAAATGGTCAGTGACCACAAACATCGTATTAGGGCCCTTTTTTTTTCCCCTTTTAGAAAAAGTTTTTTTTTTTTTTTTTTTTTTTTTTTTTTTTTCTAAGATCATACTCACCTTATCTGGACAG